AGGAAGGAAGGAAGGAAGGAAGGAAGGAAGGAAGGAAGGAAGGGAAAGAAAGAAAGAAAGAAAGAAAGAAAGAAAGAAAGAAAGAAAGAAAGAAAGAAAGAAAGAAAGAAGAAATATGGCACTTTGGTAGTCAGTTATTTAATTAGTTAACTTAATAGACCTTATATCGCACTCTATATAGTCATCAAGGTAAACTCATAAATTATATAAAGCTTATTTGTAGTTGCTGAGAGAGATATTCCTCAAAAAAAGGTTAAAGCTCATTGGTAAGAAAGCCAGAAATATGTTGGGATTTAGCAGGCTAATCACTCTATGAGCTATCAGCTCTTCCCAGTCTTGTCTCAATTTGATTATCTTCTATTCTTGTGGGAATTATTAAAAATATTAGTAATTGTAAGTTCTCAGTAATATTAGCCACCAAACACTATACTAAGTGGTTTTGTATGCTCAGTAAGTAAACTACTTCTATGGTAAAAAGAATTGCTATCTCCATCATACAGTGGACAAAATTGGGACATTAATATGGCAAGTTATTTATGTTCATAACCTACTAAGCAACAGAGTTCATATTCAATATTGGACATCGTGAGTCTGGAATTCAGTCTTTTTTCTTTGGTGGAACCGGAGATTGAACTCAAACCCTTGTGCTTGCCAGGGAAAGTACTTTTTCTACTGAGCCATCTCCCCTGCCCTGGAATTCAGTCTTACCTACTTTGCTATAAGACAAATAAGTAGATGTGAGAGTGTGCATCCCTGTACAACAAACATGCACACGCACACACACGCTCATGTGCACATATACACACACACACACACAGTCACAAGTCCCAGACAAGCATTTTATAGGAAGACTATATGACCCGGAAGAAGAAAAGGAATGCATTGGAGCTTCTACACCTCATTGAAAAATAAGATATTGTTTTATATAATGTGACTGTGAAATTATTAACTTTAGGTTCAAAGATTCTACATTGGTATATAGCCACTTTGCTTTTAATTCGTTTAACAGTACTAAATTCATGCTTCAAAGGAGATACTAAAGTTTTAAAATTCTTTTCAGACAATAAAGGAAGTAGCTAGTTGAATAGAAAAATAAGAATTTTAACTCACATCTGTCACATTTTGAGGTTCCTGGGACTTTCTTAAGAAGTAAGTTCCCTGAGCCCTTTCCATCCTTTTACAAAAAGGATCAAATTATAACAACTTTTGAAGAATAAACAAAACAAAAAAAGTAGATGACCTACCTACCTATCAATCCTGCAAACACACAAAGTTACCCTTAATTATAGCTATCTATACCAGAAATTAAGGGCACTCTTCCTGAGAGCTAACCCAGAAAATATTTAGTGTCAGGGAGTATATGGAAGCTATTAAAACGCTAATTCTATAAATGCCAATTAAAAGTTCAGGCCAAGTGATGATACACACTTTTCTCAGTCACAATATAGCCAAATTAATTCTATAAACCATATTCACAAATACACCAAGGTGAACTACAAATGTGTTTCACTGTTCTACAGACCCCTTTTATGATCTGGCTTAATTTTATAATGACTTACTTATTTTCAGCTTCATAACTCCCTCACTGTAATCACTTCCACAGATGATTATTTCATACTCATTAAGGAACCTTCTAATTTGAAAATAGTTCAACTATTCAAATACCTAAAAATAACGTTTAAAATTTGGTTTTAGTGAGCTTGATATATGCACCAATTCATTTTCATCAAAGTATCACAAGTTAAACCCCTATTTTCAATGCTGATAAACATTTCATATATTCTCAGAATATATATTTACCATTACTATTACTGTAAAATTACAGACTGACACATACACCTGTATAAAACTGCAATGAACTTCAAAGTTAACTAGGTAGTCTACAAAATCCAACAGCAGAAAGTTAAAGTAATCCAAACAAAGTTTTTCAGAACTATTCATGTCTTAGTTTCCACATACATAGACTGTCATAGTCTGTTCAGAATTACTCTCCAACGTTAAGTTCTAAACTGGATACTATGTAATTACAGTTAGAGAAAACAGCCCTGGAAATCCTGTTACAAGTATTCTCATTGATTACCTGGAAAACTTTGCCCTCCTAGAGAAAGAAGCAAACCTACAGTGCCGGCAGGAGGTTGGGGGATGGGAATCTGAGCCACTGGACCTCGGCCCTGAACGTCCCCTCCTGCGATGAAATCCGCACAAGCAGGCAGCAGCATCAGCCCCGCGCCTGTCAGCACCGCAGCGAGGCCCTGATCCTCCCTGCGCTGCGCACACGGACGAGGAGCAGTCCACCAGCTGCAGCCAGCGCCGTGGCGCCTCCTCTGGGAGACCCCTGGGCTGCGCTCGGCTCGGATCTCCAGCGAGCTTGCCAGCGAGCCTGAGGCAGGACATGCACGACAAGCCTGTGACAAACTGGTTCTGTCACCAGAGCCTTCAGCAGATCACTCGGTGGGGAGGACAACAAAAGGCCATGAGAACCCCCCCTTCCCCACCGGAGTGCCCCAGTTGACAGCAGGGGGCCAGCCCTGGGTTTGCCTTGCAGGGCACCCCAAGACTCCTGGCAGGCAGCTGTGAGGCACCCAGTGCAGACCACACCTGTGGGACCGCTGCCCACACATAGCTGGTTTGTTTTGTTGATTTTTTTTTCTTTGCTGATGATTGTAACTGAGAAGTGTAGAGAGACCAGGAGAAACAACTGGTTTGTTTGATGAAATGAGAGAAAAAAAATACTGCGAGGTGTCCAAGGGCACGGCACTGCAGTTTCCCCACACTACGCATCAACATTTAAATAATGAACTGAGGGCACAGATACAAGTGTGGGGGACCCAAAGGTGAATACTGAAGCTATAAAAATTCAGTTAAGCTGCCCACTTGCAAATTATTTCTTAATTACCAACTATTTAATAGCTTTAATTTTAAGGACTTCATATAGAAAAAAAATGCTTAATCAACATAAGTTTTTCAACTATTTTAACTGCAATTATGCCTCTAAACTATGAACATATTCATAAAGTTTTATCTTCTAAAATGGTGAATAAACATTTTTAGTGCTTTATCACTGAGAGCCATCAGTAGTAAAGAAACAGCAAGAAATACAGTTGAGCTGTCAGTATGTGTGGAAACTACAGTAGTACCATAGACACAGACAGACAGAAGCAGTTACTAAACCTTATCAGTTGTCGACTAAAGGCTTTGTGGATATGACAACAGATACCTATGCATGGTTATAATGAAGACATCACTAGGTCTAGGTTGGTATTTTACAAAAGCTAGGAAAGTCCCTAGCTCTCCCTCTGCAGAGGTGGCTCCACCACTGCCTCCTCCCCTCACCTTGCAGCCTCACTTAGTGCTGTTCAAAGCTCGCTCCAGCCCAACAAGTGCAGAACCCAGCAAGCATGCCTGATCATGGGACAGGTACTGCAGTCAGCTGAGCATTCTCAAGACACACTTTCATGGGGTGAAATTTAATAGAAATATAGTATTTTTAACCACCTAGAAGTCACTGAACTTAGGAAGGCCCACATTTCCCAGGAACCATGTGTCTTACTTGTAAGGAGAATGGAAGTTGGGAATAATGAAAAAGGATCGTCCTTAAGTTTCACTTGTAAAAGTATGTTTCTTTTCACTAGGAAGAAGGGTTAGAGAATAGGAAAATGAACAGGGGCAACTAGGAGAGGGGTAATGTGCAGGAAAAGCAGATAAAATTTGGGCAATTGCATCTGGTTCAAACCTCTATTCTCAGAGCCACACTCAATGTGACCACACTGCCAGTTTGGAATCCAGCCTGGCTCTGAAGCAGGGAGCAGCTGAAATGTGGGACAGCTCCCCTGCTCCCCTTTCCCTGACCAAAGATATCTAGACCAGGCTCAGAGCACAGAGAACCTCCATTCTTGCTCAGAATATCCATCACTTCAAACCAACTTACAGGAGCAATCGGTCCTGCTTTCGAACTATGTGAGAACTGAACAGGGTGTACTCCATAAGCATATAGCATCCCGGGAAAAGAACAGAATTAAGGAAAGTAAAGAACTGAGGAAAAGCCATTGCACACTTAAGGAGAAAGTCCTCCCAAAAGGAATACACATGAAAATTCAGAGCAAGACCAGTGAGATAGATCAGTGGACTAAGCACCTGCTTAGGCAAGCTCAAGGACCAGGGTTCAATCCCCGGCACCACATGCCATACAGGCCCCACCCACAGGGCAAGCTGAGGCAGCTATGGAGACTGGGCCTTGTGGTGCATGCCTGTGATCCCAGCACTGGGGAGGCTGAAAAATGAGGATCACAAGGATCACTATGAGCCCTAGCTGTGTAGTGAGGCCCTGTACAAAAAAAAGAAAAGAAAAGATTCAGAGCAGGGCTTGAAGTAGTCTGGGGTAGAGAATGAAGGGAGAGCTGGATACTCACACTGAGGTCCTTGTATGCAGCAGGAGAGAAGCTGGAGAGAGGGAATTACATGGGTAAGAACCAAAGATGAGAACCAACATTTCATTTGGGCAATAGCATGAAAAGAAAAACTATACTGGAACAGATCGCCGCTATTCATAAGTGGCTGGAGAGAAAGCTAGACAGAGTGGAACCAGATTGTGTGTGGGTCTGAATACAAGTTATAGAGCTGACACAGATAACTAAAGGCTTTTGAGTAACTGGCTGGCTTGATGAATTGAAAAAAGAAGCCTCAGAACTTTAGCACGTAGCGTGAGCCTCAATCCAACTGTGTGAGGAGGAATGAAGATTGGACCACTGCTGCAGGAAAGCTTTCTACTTACATTGAAATTTCCACTGATTCAGAGCTCTGTAATTTAATAATATTAAGAAATTCAAGATATACCTTGACAAATTCGCTCCTTTTTAGCTTAACATTTTCAAGTTTAACAAATTAGGTTGATGTTCTTCAAACTGTGCAATCAGGTCCTAAACTACTGGACTCAGGATTTGAAGGGAACTCCTAGGGGCCAGGGAGATAGCTCAATAAAATAAGCACTTGCCTGGCAAGTGCAGGGTCCTGAGTTCAATCCCCAGTACCACAAAAAAGGAAGAGAGAGAGAGAGAGAGAGAGAGAGAGAGAGAGAGAGAGAGAGAGAGAGCAACTCTTACATTTGCCAAAAATATGGGTTAGAATAAGAATCCAGAGTTGCCTACTATTTAACCTGCCCACGTTATGCACACAATTTTATCCAGAGTTTATATTTCAGTCTCCAAAATTAAATCTAATCTGACCTCTACTGTGCTAGATCAATAATGGGCCTCACACAGTTAATCCTTCACCCAACTTTCCTGACTCTGGAGCTGAGTACAGGAGAGAAACCAGTGGTGCCTCCCGCTCTTATGCTTGCTTGAGATGTGGCCATAACTGGCTTTATTGGTTGTTCCAATGGCTTCTTAGGTTAACTCACTGCCCCCAATAGTATTTTCATTTAATTATCTTTATTTACAAGAGAAAAATCAGACAGGCAAACCACCTTGAGCTTCAGTGAGCACAGCCAGCTTAATTTTGCAAGTCCATTTGCACACCAACTAAGGCATCAATAAATGCTTTGGGAGAAGATTCACAGAAAAGTCTCAGTTTTAAAATGCGCACCTGAGGGAAGGGCAAAGCAGGGGAATGGGGCCCCTAGATAATGTTACCAAGCTGAGAGACAACAGGGCAAGCCAGCACTGTCACTGCCAAAGTCTGACACACGTGTGCTTGGCCCAGGTGCACGGCACCTTTCTTGCATGGTGGGGAGAAGCTTGTGTCTCTGTATAGCCGGGAGGGAGAGACCAAAACTCCAGGTGCCACATCATGTGCTCATGTCTCACGAAGGGTGCTTTCTTAGAGACTAAGCAAGTGGACAAACATGGACCACTGAATGAAGGACCCCAGAAAAGGCCAGCAATTTCCTGAAAACTCCTACCAGTCACCTTGACTACGGACACGAAAACCTTTGCTAACAAATCATGTTCTTTGATATGTTAGGCTACAGTATAGCATTTCCTAAATTGTTTCCATTACAAATGCTGTGATCATTGAAGTATGCAAAATGTCTTATTTTACATTGAAGTTTAAGAAGTTCAAATTATAGCTTCAAAAACATCTCTTATAACCAATTCATTTTACTTGCTTCATTAAGTGTTCGTGTATTTTAGGAGGTATATTGATAGTTTTAATTTGAGACTACTTCATTACCAATTTAAATTTGTAATTCATTTTACACACACACACACATACACACACACACACACACACACACACACACACACACATCCCCCAACTTCCTGGTCTTACATTATGACACTTTTTAATATGTCACTAACAGTCCCACTTTGCTGTACTGGGGAGAATCGTGTCCACTATATGGATGTAAGGACATTAAAGGCAGAGTTTTTTTCTTCAAAAGAAATCTTACTCTCTAGGGGTGAAGACCAATATACCAGCAGACAGTGACAATGGAGTCCTGTCACGTGGCCCATTCAGAGGGTGCATGTAAAGTGCAGTGGATAAATAAAGGTTTATTCCGCCTGCAGAAGGGGGCTGCATTTGCTGGGAAGAGGCCTGTGAACTGAGTCTACAGAGACGGGGAAGGCACTGCAGGAAAGGAGAGGGAAGGAGAAGCGCTCTGCAAACAGAGCGTAGGGTGCAGACATCTAGAAATAAGAAAAAGAGAAATGCTCTTGAGGGACCTGAGAAAGTAGGTGTGCCAGGAGAGCACGGAGTTAGGCTGGGAATGAAGATGGGACAAGCTGGGAAGGCACGTGTACCCCATAAGCAGAAGCTCTGATTCGATCCCAAGCACAGGGGACAGGAGCACCCTCACTCCCTGAGGTTTGGACGGGTTATTTTCCCCTGTGTGAACGAGCCACACTTGGTCCTGTTGGCACCTGTTCATATGGCAAAGGAGTCTAGTAGAGTTTTCAAAACAAATGCAATATTATGACCACAAACACACACTAATAAAATTCTGAAATTCTGGAAATAAGATGAAAAAGCATCTTCCTAGATATCAAGGAAAATTTAACAAAATTGTTAATGGGAACAATAAGGTAAGTTATTTTCTTTATTACTTTAACGTCTTTTGTCATATTGTTCAGAATAAATTTTACTTTTGTAGTAAACCTTCTGTTGCAATGCACAAGTGCAGTAAAACAACACTAATGGAAGCCACAGTATTTTTTTTTATCCCATTCATTCTACAGAAGTTTGCACTAAAATATGTGTTGTGCCAAAAACAGAAGACTTCACTTGAAATGGTACCCATAATTCCTTTCATCATGTTCAGATTTTTAACTAAACACTGACATTTAAAGCTATTCCACCATGGGGTAGGAGGACGAACAATAGAACTCAGGGTACAAAAACTTTCTCCCAG